CTGATACACTTTCCTGATTAACAGTTAACACCTGAGGTGCAATCAGGAAAGTAGATTCAGGGGAGGGAGTGGACTCTGAAACCTCCAATAAATCAGGTTCATATCTCAGATCCAACTCCTCTCCCTCTACTTGACTCCCCTCTAAGTCACTTAATAATGCAGGCTCGAATCTCAGTGCCAGATCTTCATCGCTCGAACCCACATCTGCTGACTGATCAGGTTCAAGTCTCGGAGTCACAACACTTAACCAAGTGTAAGGTCTTCACAAAACCAAAGTGACCAGCTGCCTTGGAATCATGGGTCTGTTGTAACACTTGGCTTCTCAATGTCTCTGGTACGTACAATTTCACTCCCACCCAGGCCAAGCCATCTCTAACGGTGCAGTTATTCGCATTCGCCAGGAACCACTCATCTGTCTTCAACGCTTCCTTAAATCGCTCCATCAGTTCATTGGACAGTTCTGCTTCTTGCTTCTTCTTTTGCGCTCTGGTGACCACCGGGGTGGCCAGCTGTGTGGTTGACACGATCGGCCTTATCACTTCCTGACGAACACTGTTATATTGCGGCATTCTAGACAACACATCTGCCATAAAAATTTTTCCCCCCGGGATGCACTTCAAGGAGAAATTGAATCGTTTAAAATACTGGGCCCACCTGACTTGCTTGGGAGATAATTTTTGAGGTGATTTAAGGCCTCTAAATTCTTATGGTCAGTCCATACCTCAAATGGGTGTTTCGATCCTTCCAAGAAATGTCTCCAGGTTAATAGAGCCCAACGAACTGCAAAAGCCTCCTTCTCCCAGACGGCCCATCTCCTCTCAGTCTCAGTCAATTTACGGGAGGTATATGCGCAAGGTTGTAGTGTCCCCTTCTCATTCATTTGAAGTAAGACTGCCCCAACAGCCACGTCACTCGCATCGTCTTGGATCACGAAAGGGGCATCCATGTCCGGGTGTTTTAGTACTGGTTCTGCAGCGAACAACCGTTTTAGCTTTTCAAAGGCAGCTTGGCATTCCATGGACCAATCCAATGGTTGGCTAGGCTTTGGTTTCATCCCCCCCCCCATTGTCTTTAAGAGATTGGTGATAGGCATTGCTATTTTAGTGAAGGACGGGATGAATTGCCGGTAAAAGTTGGCAAACCCTAAGAAGCTTTGAAGTTGCTTTCGGGTTCTCGGCGGGGCCCAGTCCAACACAGCTCGCACCTTCCCTGGGTCCATTTCGATGCCCTTGTGCGAAATGCGATATCCTAGGTAGTCAATTTTCTCTTGATGGAATTCACATTTGGACAGTTTAGCATACAATTTGGCCGCTCGCAGTTTGTGTAGCACTGAGCGTACCAGTTTCACATGTTCCTCCCTAGTTTCCGTGTAGATAAGGATGTCATCAAGGTAAACCAAAAACCCCTTGTATAAATGTTCGTGGAGCACCTGATTGATCATTTGCATGAAAACGGCTGGAGCCCCCTGTAGGCCAAAAGGGAGAACATTGAACTGGAAGCAACCCATCGGGCAGTTAAACGCGGTTTTCCACTCATCTCCTTCTTTAATTCGGATTCGGTAATATGCCTCTCTCAGGTCCAACTTCGTGAAAATCTTCCCTTTGGCCAGGTGAGCTAACATGTCCATCAGGGGGAGGGGGTACACGTTTTCCACGGAAATAGCATTCAAATTTCGGTAGTCAACCACCAAGCGTTTGGAGCCATCTTTCTTTTCGCGGAACAACACTGGGGCCGCCACCCGAGGCCTAGCAGGTTGGATGAAACCACGTTTCAAATTTTTATCGATAAACGATCTCAACTCCTCCAATTCCCGTGGCGTCAGCGAATATAGTTTTGGTTTTGGGAGCGTCACTCCAGGCAGAATTTCAATGCTACAGTCTGTTGACCGGTGAGGGGGGAGCTCATCGGAAACCTTTTCGCTAAACACCTCTCTCAAGTCCCAATATTCTTTCGGGATTTTTTCCTCTCCCTCCAAGCTCTCGGCACCTGTGGAGGCTGACTCAGCCGGATTCTGAAGTTTCGGATGGGATTGCGCCTCCCCTTCCGGTCGCTGATCGGTACGAATCCATAACCACCCTTTCCTCCAATTCACATGGGGATTCCACTTGCGGAGCCAATATTAATGGATGCTCCATCCCAGGGGCCACAATAAAGCACAGAATCTCGCTATGGGTTCCCATGGTCATCTCTAGGGGTTCCGTTATAAAACGTGCAGGGCAACCTCCTGCCACAGATCCATCCAGTTGGCAAAAGGATATGGGCGTTTCTAAAGTTCTCAGTCTGATGCCCATCTCCTTAACTACTTTCATGCTGATTACGCACCTCGTGCACCCAGATTCTAGTAAGGCTAGCATCTCTCCCTCAGTCCCTGAAGTGACCACCCTTAGTTTTACTGGGATGGTCATGGGGCCCTTATTTGGACTTACCAGGACGTCGTCTTCCGAGTCAGTTTCACTCTCTTCAAGGAAGGTCGGAGGTCCCAGCTCGCCTCCTGCCGGAGGGGCGACCTCTACAACCTCCCCCGTCTTTAACACGTTTTCACGAGGCTTGGCTGGGGAGTTTTCAGGCTTCCTCCCTGCCCTCTGCGCTCCCTTTGGGTCCAGCTTGACCCTGCAATCCGCAATCCAGTGGCCCTCCTTCCCGCATCGAAAACAGGCAGTGGATTTGGGTCTTGCCATTACTCCTCCCTTCCGAGGCTTTGGAGTCTCTCGGAGACGTGGGGGGATACAGGGCCTCCTATGCGTCTGCTTTGGGTCAGATCTGTCTCCACTTCTTCCGCTAGCAAGTACCACAGTTGCAGATCATATGGATCCCTTCTGGAGATGCACATGTGGTATATATCTTCATTTAGGCCATCTTTGTAGGCTTCTATCAGGGCCTCCTGGGACCAGCCTCGGATGTGGCATGCCAGCTGTCTGAACTCTTGGGTGTAGTCAGCAACTGACCTCCCCCCTTGATTTATGGTTTTCATTCTGATCCTAGCCTTCCTCTCCGCTAGAAGGTCCTTAAACCTTCTCCTCAATGCAGTCATGAAGACATTGAGATTCCGCAGTTGGGGGGAGTTGTCATTATACAAAGTCACCATCCACTCTGCCGCTATCCCCTCCAGGGCCCTGGTAACACATCTCACCTTGGCTGCTTCAGAAGGGAATTCTCTCTCATATTCTTCCATATAGCTCCAAACTTGTGCCAGGAAGAAACCCAAATCCTTGGGATTCCCCCCAAATTTCACTTCCAACGGAGGCAGGTTGAGGGCTATGCGTCTTCCAGGGATCACACCTGCTGCTGGGGCCCCCGGGGCTGCAGCCGGCTGCTGCGCTGGCGTAGGCTGAGCTAGGGGGGTGGGGGCAGCCCGGCTTCCCCTGGCTGAACTTGCTCCCCCTTCCCCCTCATACCTTGGAGCGATGCGAGGCTTCTTGAAAGCATCATTGAGGAGCTGTCTGGCTTGATCCAACATACATTCCCTCTCTTCCCTTTCTTGCCACAGCTGCTCTCTCGCACGTCTTCGGGTTACGTTGACTCCAGGAGGGGGGAGGTCTTCGGGATCCCTCCATCCAACACCCAACGACCATCTGGGCCTCTCAGCTGGAACTTCCTCCAGAGTAAGGTCGGCTAGCAGATCGGCGGCTGGCACCTCCGGTAGCAGCATTGACTGCCCCCCCACAGCTCCCTGGTCATCTTCTTCACTAGCTGGAGATGACATGATGTGAAACCCCCTCGGAAGAAAAGTTGATATTTTCTCCGGGTGGGCTGATGGGGAGATTCAGAATAATGTCAGTCTGTGCTCCATTCAAAATCCAAGAAAGAAATACTCAGACTCCATAGGTTAGAGCAAAGTTTTCCTTTTACTGAAATTCAAAGTGGAAGCATCAGGTAAAATTCTGAATCTAAGAATTTAGGCGCGCAGATCACATATACAAAGGGGTGAAATTGATCCCACCCCCCAAAGTCCAAGATCTTCCTCCAATAAAAAGTTATGGATGCGATCATGTGGACATCTGCAGATGGTGATGAGGCTTCTGTCCGTTGACCTTGACATATTTTGATAAAATTTAGCAGTTGCGCAGTAGAAAGATGGTTGAGCAAGGAAATAGAAACTTAAGAAGAAGAATTCCATACTCCCCCTTCTCCTTTTCATTTACAGCACAGGAATGTAACACCTCCAGCTCTCTTCCCTTTTGATCCCCCCTTCCTTCCCGTTACTAATGACAGCCGAAAGATGGTGCAGAACAGTGAGAAAGATGCATAGCAGTAGAAGAGATCTTGAAGGCTGACAGGAGTTGACTTATTCTTCAAAGCATCTGAGAGCAGGATAAGAAACAATGAGGGGAGAGGGAGGCTCATCAAAGAGAGATCAAATCTGAGAGATCCCAGGCTACACCTGGAGCAAATAGTCGGAATCTTCTTTCAGTAGAATAGTACTAAAGTACCAAACTTTGCTTATCCACATTTTTTGTAATTAAATCTATCTCTGTTATAATTATAAAAATCTGTTCTCATTCGTCATTGGTTAGATCAGATTTCCAATCTCAGGAACTCTTCTATTCACACACTTAAATTCAGGCTTATATGAGCATAGGTCTATAATACTAAACTTAGCAATATGTGGAAACACATTGTAGTGACCTCCTAAAAATCCTTGTTTTCAACGTGAGCATAATGGCACTGCAGTATTACTAAAGCTTTATTGAAGGACATCAATAATAGAGGGGAAAAGAAATAATAAAAACAGATCAGGCTTCATGGTAGTTTCAAGGCAATTTTTGCATGGGTTGAATCTGCACTGCAAGAGAGTTGAATAGATTGTATTTTAAAATGGTAACATAGCTATTTATCTTCATAAAATATTTGCATTAAAATTATAATATTTGCATTCATGTTAAAATTATACTATAAAGTTGACTAATATTTTGCCTATCAAAAATACAATTAAATATCAGGTAGCAGATAAAGTCTTAATTTATTATAGTAAAATAATGAACTTTTGTGTTTATCATTAGGGACCAGTTATTCTTCAGCCTTACAAGGACTAACTACTCAAGTTCAAGATTTGGTAAGTAACCATTGCTCATGTAGAAAGTAATAAAATAATTCTGTAGTTGATATATGGAAGGGGCTACAGGTAGTCCTTGAGGTATGGAAGGCCATTTAATGAATGTTCAAAATTATGACAGACCCTCCAAAAAACTACATATGACCCCACCCCATTTCAAAGTTATGTTGGCTGCCATGGGGCTGTGGCCCTTATGACCCACCACAGGTGGTTGCAGTGACCTCCTGCATCTTTCCCCCAACCTACCTTGCTGGAATCTTGCAGCCCTTGGGCCTCTTCCCCACATGCCTATCACGGCTCACACTTGTCTTTTAAAGTTCTTCAGACCTCATGTTGTGGAAGGCAGGCAGGCCATGAGTCCCCAGGCCATGCAGCAGTGATCCAAATGCAGCCTTCAAATCAGAATCATGGAAATATATATTATACCTAAACCATCTTTGAAATTTTGATGTCTAATGTGCTATTTCATGAATATTTCTTTTTTTTATAAATTGATAAGTACAAATGATGCTTATAGCCTATGGAATCATGCTGTCTCCCAAGAAAGCAGTTGAGAACAATGTAAAATAACACATGTTCCATGATCTTTTAGAACACATTTAAAAGTTTCAAGTGTTGCAGGAAACTATGTATAAGAAAAGAACCTTTGCACCTTTGTTTCTATGACTGTAGCATATAGGACAGTGTTGGCAAAACTTTTTGTCACTGAGTGCTGATACGGGAGCTCACATGCGCATCAGAAACTGGAAGAGCAGCTCCCTGGAGTGCACGTGGGAGCGCTGGAAACCCGAAGAGCAGCACTCTGGTGTCTGCCTGCGGTTGAGCTTCCGGTTTCTGCCACGCACATGCGTGCCAGCCGCCCGGTTTCTGGCACGCATGCACATGCAAAGACCAGCTGGCCGGCGCACACATACACGCTGGGGAGCTGCTCTTCCAGTTTCTGGTGCTCCCACGCATGTGAAGACCAACTGACTGGCACGCATGCGCGTGCTGGAACTCAGAAAAGCAACAGGTATGGTTGGCGTGCCCAGAGAGGTGGCTTTGCATGCCACTTCCAGCACGTGTGCCATAGGTTCACCAACACAAATATAAATGTCCTTGACAGAAATCAGCAGGAAATCCTACATAAGAAAAAAAAGGCTCAATTCTGGTCGTCACCCGATTTGGTCACGAACAGAAGCGGTTGCAACCCGAGGTTCCACTGTAATTGCTTAGTTGCATTCAAAGTTCCAACAGATCCCCTCCCTCTCCCCCTTACAACTGATTTTGAGGCAATTCAAACACGTCTCTGACTCATTGGATATAAGGAGAAAAGCACATTGGGCTGGCAAGATTGTTATTAAAGTCTATTTAAATAAAGGGTAAGTTTAGTTTTCCAATGGAGTTGCTTTTCTGATATGACTTGATCTACTAGCAGGGTTAACAATGACAGGGCCATAAGCACAGGTGCCATGTTATGTGCCTGACTTGCCAATTTTATTTTTCACCAGAAGTATTTTTAAAGTTGTTCTTGTCATGCTTTACTTAATTTTGGAAATGGTTATTATTTTTAGTAGTTTAGACACTTTATTACAAAAAAAAAAAAAAAAAAGCTACTGGTCTCCACCATACCAGGTTCATGCTAAGATCTCATGCTAAGGGCATCTGACTATATAAAGCACCATTTGGGTAATTTACAAGCAAAAAAAAGTTTTCTAGTATCAAGCTGTAGCGTATATATGAAGTTTTTAATGGTCTATTGATTAACCAAACTTACAATTGCAAAAGAAAATGAAAGGAATAATATATAACTCAAATAATAAATCTGAAATGTATTTCATAGTTGATTATTGAAATTGTATTCACAGAATGCTTGTTTGAATTATAGGATTCATTCGTTATTTGTGGAAAGGGATGCAGTCCTCCAAGAAAAGATGGAACTTCCTCAGTTATATGGCAAAATCCAAGAAATCCAAGAAACCACTGATCCAACTTTTATCTTTTGGAATAATTCATTATACAGCAACCTTGTAACTTTCATCTTTATAACTATGATAAGGAAAAATTAAGGCATTCATGTATGAATCTTTTGAGACCTGTGAAAACTGTAATTTGCAGTGTAACGGCAGTTAAAATATACATAAGCTGAACTACCAAATCAGAGTAATGATTTTTACTCCATTTGATAAAAGTACATTTATGCCTCTCTGAAATGTCTGGAATTCAGATATTTTAAAAAATAAATCTTTGGACCTAACTAACCGGACTATTAAAATTCACAGAACCAGCTAATATAATTGAGTAAACTTTATGCTAAGTCATAATACAGTTCATTTTATAGAATTCCATGCTGTTTGCTCTCCACCACACTTAAGCAGCTAGTGAATGTTGACTTATAAGGAAAGTGAGGGTCCTCCTTGTCTTGTTAGATACAGAGATCATAAAAGCAAGTTCAGAAAAATTAGATGGATTTTTTGGGGAACTAGGGAATTATGCTGATACGGATGGATATCAAGTTCGTTCTAACTTCCAAGAACTGGGTACAAAGCAAATACACGGACAATTATTTGAATCTAGGTATAATTCTCATCCTCCCAAATACAAAATCTGCTAAATGATTTTAATGTAGACAGTTGATTGAAATAGAATCCATAATTAACATACTGTCTGGTCTATATATAATAAAGGGGCAGTAATTGTTCCTACACAAGAAAATTGGGTAGACTTCAGTGCTACAGAAAAGGTAGTTATTGTTGAAGTTATCAAGTAAAACTGTAAACTAAGTGATAACAGGACACTATGTAAAGCTTCTGATATTTGACCACTTAGTCTAAATGAAACAATCAAACAAAAAGGTTGCATGCTGAGGTATCAAATAACACAAGTTAGAATGTATAATGGTTGCAGAGAATATATGGGTGGGACAGGGATAGGAAACATACATTATAAATGCTGAGTTCCAGATACCTTTTCACAGTCCTTCAGAAACCAAAACATGTCTTACTATCCTTAAGTTCCAGTTGAAATGTTCAGAAAAATAGAACTGTTCTTTTACCCCAAGAAAACAGGAAAGAAATAATTAAAATGCTGCATTCTAGTACCAGTGTCCATCTAATTCAGTACATCCCTTGGAGATACTCCCAGTTCTCCCCTGAAAGTTTTATCACGCAAGGGGATGGGGTTGTGGGGGGGGGAGGGCAAGTATACTCCTGCTCAAAAAGGAGTGACACAATTCATATCCATCCCTTTTCCTTTTCTCAAGTTCAGTCTGGAGGTTTCACCAATCGTCGTCTTTGGGGCAGTTCAGTTCTTTGTCCTTTTCTGATGAAGCTGTCCCCGGAAGCGCCACAACAGGCTTCCCTAAGCCCTGCCCTACTTCAATTTAAGAATGTTCAGCTTTAGCAACACTTACAACAAAGAAAGAAAGACCAATAAAATTTTTAAAGGATTTTATTAAATTTAATAAATAATTTCCATGGTAACATTGTAAAAAGTGAACGTTTGTTAAAATAAAAGGCACTTAAAATATGAATGTGGCTACTACTGAATAGATAACAGAATAGCCAGCAGCAAATATACAAGCCACAGTAACTCCTGATTCAGAATCATGCAATTTTAGATATAGGATAAATTACAACCAAGATTGCAAAAATAAGCTGGTTTAATAATTATCTTACATAGAAAGAAATCAAGTACATTAAAGTTACTAAAGCACCAGGCTTTAAACCAAGCAAGAAATTTAAAAAGAAACCTAAGGAATTAAGGCGCTAAGAACAACTTGCTCCTATTCTGTGCCCTGTATATGCTGGACTTTCAATTTCAAATATGACCAATTTTCAAAAAGTCCAGCGTCTTGGGACAGCATCAGATAAGGGCAGCTGATTTAAAAGGAAGTCTTAGCAGTGTATTTGTCAGAACTAAAATTGGAAACTGAATTTACACACAGGAGTTATTATTACCATGCCTGTATTAATAATATTAAAGCTCTTTATTTTGGATCTATTTTTTCTTTTTATTCTTATACATACATAGTGATAATTTAAAATGTATGTCACACATGAAACTTGAAATTAAAGTTACATCATGGTTTCTACATTACTGAATACAGAAAGTTGGAAATTGTCTCACATTATTTATAAACTAATTTTTATAGTTTATTAGTAAGTATTAGGTTTGCACTATTTGTGCAAGCCAAACCTTGATACATCTATAAGGCTAAAAACTGTTCTAATTATAATACTTATGTATAGGCAAGTTGTTTATTAAGCATTTCATTCCATACAAAAGCCAGGGTACATAAAAAAGCACCTTGAGTAAGCTATAATCTTATTGATTAGGATATGCAATCTCAAGTATTTTGTGAATCTTCTGGCACTGTTTGTTTGCAAAAACAAAGAAAAAAAACTTCAAAAATAAAAATACTGTACATTTAAAAAAATTGCATAGGAAACATCTGTGTAGGTAAGTAAAGAACTAGTAAATCCATTGCAAATTGCCAAAAGCTACACAATGAGTACAAAACTATTATATCACACCCAGTGCTGTGAAATCATAAAGCAGTTTTCATTTCCCCTCATACTTAGGATTCACTACAGTTGTCACGGCACTTTTGTATATAGGATTTTCACCCTAAAAGAAAAGGAAAAAAAGGATTATAGAATGAAAAAACTATCAACTTACTGAAAAAATATTTTCACATACTGCCAAGCCAATTAGAGATCCATGTGTATATGGGTCCCACAGCTCCTGCATTGGATCAAGACTGAAACAAGCAAGGAAACCTTTTGGGTTTTTTGGGGGGGAAGTGGGAGGGAAATATTACAGATTACTATCCAGCGTTTTTAATTTTTACTACATATGCCTAATACAATTATTATTTAGAATATACAAGAAAAGAAACGGCAAATAATCTATTCATAGGAATTTCATAACACTTTATTTAGTGCATGATGGTGATTATATGGGTGGCCATATAAATAAACATTAAAAGAATTTTGGGGAAAAATATTTTCTTTACATCGATTCCATATTCCCTCCAGTGTAGGCGTACTTTAATTAAATCAGAAACTTTCGATGCATTTTTGACAGTGCAAAATTAACACTGACATTACTGTATCAGGAAGACTCACAGCTCAAGTGCTCCTTTATTACTGAACTCTTTAATGATCTAAATAAGATCAGCCATAAAATTAGTCTCAATGTGAACACAGCAAATCCATCTTTCAATATTGAAGAACAAAGCTCACAAACAGCAAACAGAGGAGAGGACTTGCGACTCACACACAAACTCTGTATAATCAAGATGTTTAAGCATGGATATATTTGTTCCAAATTACACAAATATTGACACAGCAAACTGATTTGCAACTAATTCCCTATACTGAAATGCATATTATCAGACTTTAAAAGCTACATTATACTGCACCCAAAAATTATAGACTTCAATCCAGGATACTATTTTTGAACTTGAACTTTTGTTAACTTCTTTTTAAAGCTTGGGGAAAATGTTTTGACTTTTTTCAGGACTATCACTGGCAATTATACAACCAGATTCATATAGCATCAGAGTATTCAAAAATAAAAACAACAACTGAATATCAAATAACAAGAGATGGAATGGATATATAATATATAATAAAATAAAGAAGGAGAAAAAGTAAGAAAAAAAGACATATATATGAAGAATGCAGCATATTATGTATACTATCAATACTTTGGTTGTGCCGCAAATTAAGTTTGTACATTTTATATAAACTATCAACAAAGTTCAATCTAACTATTTTCTACCTCATCATACTATTGCCGCGTTCAGTTAGAATACAAATCAACATTCAAAAAAATTATTTTATATGTTGCCAAGACTGTATTTGCTTTATGCTCCACTATCATTGATGCTTTTTTCCTATAAAGCATCTGTTTAGTTAGTGGTCACCGTCACAAGTGTCATCTAGGGATAGCACTTACACACATGATCAGAATTCTCAAGTAAACTAACTAGCTAGATTTAAAAAAGTGATTTTAGTGACAGTGCAGTAAATAATTTGTTCCGTTAACAACTCAAACTACTTTAAATTAAGCTACATCATGCCCAGTTTATTTCATGAGATTCAAAGAGCATCACATCTCAGCATTTGCCAAGCCTTAAGGCTAGAAAAGGGCCAGAACTCAAGCACGTGATTAATATAATGTTGAATAGAACCCTTTATGAAGAAGTGTGTGCTCTGGTTTGCATTTCTTACTTTTTTGGGGTGAGGGTCTTTGTTTTACTCACAAGTGTTTAAGACTTTACTAAAGGGGACAAATGGGTTCTTAAATGTTTGTCCACTTCCTGTTTATTTATTGGCTGCCTTCAAATCAGGCCCTGAAGTTTTCTTGTCAAAATTCTTCAGAATTTACCTTCTTCCTATAGCTAAGAAAAAGGGAAATGTGTCCAAAGTCCAAAGACTACATGCCTACGGCTAGAATTTGGTTTTCCAAGTTCTAGCCCAGTGCCTTTAATTATTACACTACATTGCCTCTCTAAATTCTGTTATATAATTCAAAGTATGATGCAGCAGTTAAAAAAAGGTGTTAGGAATCAAGCAATAATTAGTAAAAGCTGCATTCAGCAACTCTGAAGGAAAGCTCATGCAAAGAGAAAGAAATAGAAAAGAAAATACGAACGGAAACTTAGAGACCAGCTTTACGTCCATAGTTTGGATTCTTGAAATTATTAATAGGACTCTTGTATATTGGATTTTCTTGCTGAAGGTAGAGAAATCATCAATGTGGAACACAAGAGAAACAACATTCTAAAGAAAAAAGGTTGTGTTCTACTAACATAAAATTGTTAGTTCTTTTAAGATCCAAAGTTGTATTGAATGATATTCTAATGAATAAGATTCCAACTAATATCCTCAGAGAGAGCAAAATATTGAGGTCTACAAATGGAAAAATGTGGTGTTAATATTTAAAAGACTGAACACGCTTAAGAGAATTAAAGAATTATCCAGGAGACAATATGTCTTCATTTTGGAATGATCTGGAGATATACAGAAAGCAAGTCTGTCTAACACATATATTTTTATAAACAGATGTTTGAAATTTCTGAAGTGTGCAAACTATCCTCAGATATGTATGCCTGCTTAAGGTTATTAATATAGTGACTCACAGTATCCCATTTTGCATTCATCTTTTCTTTTTCAAATTTTGCAAATTCTCTTCTATCATGAATGATCATAAGTAACTTCCAAATCAGCAATAAAGCTAGACCAATAAGAACAATTCCAGCAACAACACCAGCAACGATAGGAATGATGTCAGGACCAGTTGGGCATTCTAGCAAACAAAATAAATGTAGCATAATATTAACACAGTTGCAATTATGAAACAGCCATCCAAACATGAATAATTAATGCTGTTCTTAGATATGATGGATGCACAATCATCCAGATGCTTAGACTGGATTTAGCATTTTTATCCATATTAATTAAATTAATATGCTACCCAAATCCCAACATATTTGAGTGACTTATAACATTTTAAATCAAAAATAGAAAATAAGCACATAGCCCTATTTGGTGAGTGTCGTGATAGGACGCAACCCCATTCGAACAATCTCAGGGTCTCACATGTTGCAGGCACTCTTGGCTCCACTTGCACGAGCAATGGGTGCTTGCACAAGCATGTCTCTGTCCCTCCCACAAAACCATCCCCTCTTTCCATTCGTTCTGGCCCGCCAACCTGGAAAGGTTGGGGAAGTCTGTTCTAGAGGGCATGTATTACTACAGAGCAGGGGTGCTTCCAAGGCCCTTTGATTGCATTGTTCAATGAATGAATCCCAGAGTGCAACAACCTGCCAAAGTTAATTGGCCAGGGAGATACAATCGGAGATAGGTGGTCCCTCAATTATCCAGAATCTATGCCATGTAGACTTGGTAATGACCAGCCCTTTGAATCAAAACGTGAAAAAAACTGCAGCTTGTGGAATAGTGGTATTATATAGGTATACTGCAGCATTCTGGACTTGCTGAAGCTTTCACATGGTCCCCAAGAGCAGCTCTATGTACAATGTGTTGCAATAATCAAGTTGTGAAGTGACCAGGGCATGAATGGCTAAGTTCTCTGATTTGCTGAGGAATGTGCAAAAAACAAGGTTGCATTTTGACCGCTCATCAGGTTCACCAATCCTTGGGGCTGTTTCCAATGTAAAGATACCTACATGGATTTACTACTGAGTGAGAACTAGACAATGAGGCACAAAACATTTCTTTAGTGTAATCAATGGAGGTTGGGTGATGGAACTAATGAAGCAATAACCACAAACAGTCACTGATCATTCCAACAGTCCAAAATTTGTGTGCCTTCTGTGGGTACTCAAAAACATTCTATTTTTTAAATAAATATTAACTACTAATATTTGTATTTTAAATATGCTTTTTTTAGGGAAGTTGATAACAACACATGTACACAAAATTGTGGATATTTTGAAGTACAAGAAATTAAGTTAAAAATGGGGACAGGTAAATGGAATTATGTTTAAGCAATCCCTAAAGTCAAAACTGTCTCTATGAACTGTCATACCTGGCGTCTTCACCACATGGACAATGGCCTTGTTATTTGAATCAACAGAATATGTGAAATAAAACCAACAGTCATCAATATCCTTTTCCTTGCAGTGAGTCAATGCATCATACTCTCCAGGCTGTGGCAACTTTTCTCTACGATCTACCAACTCCAAACTAAAGTGTGAACATTCTTTTTCACACTGTTCTTTCTTTTCTCCTTTGTTAAAGGCTTTGCACTGGACACAATCTCTATTTGCAAAGAAGATAAAGCACAAATTAGTATAATACTAGGATACTACCCATTTTATTAGGAAGGCTTGACAAAAAGGAAATTATAAATTTAAATAAAAGCTTAAATCTCAGATTATTTAGACATAATGCATTTTTTCTTCTGGCCTGGACTGCATTATATCTTTAAGAAGATTCTGAATGGTGTCCTTCTTACCATAAAATCCTATACACAATAGCCATCTACCAAAGTAGATGTTTAGCCCCTATTAAAGGCATTCATTAAAGCAACATTTCAAAGGTAAAGGGAAGGAAGAAGAAGGAAAGAGGTGTATTGGGAGTGATCTGCCCCAAATTTACCACCTTATGGAGTACAAGACCTTGGGAGGGGCATTTCCCACAAGGATCATATTTTTGAATTTTCCCTTTTACTGAAGGAAACATCTGCTAGAGTAACTGATCTCAATTCACTTTCGGGATTTAAGACATTCATATAGTGTCCTATAAAAGACTTATACTTTGTGATATATTACTCCGGCAAATATTTTTTCCCCACCAAGATGGCAATCTAATGCTATTTAAAGCTTAAACGCTCAACCCTGTCCTGTCTATAACCAGGATGACAGTTTATTTATTTATTAAATTTCTATGCTGCTCATCTTCTCTACAAGATGACTCTGAGCGGCTTAGAAAATATAGAAACAAATGAAAAATAGTTAAAATGTTAAACCAACATTAAAATATTATTAAAAACTGCACTAAAACCACATATAAAAGAGCCAATTGACAGATGGGACAGGGGATAAGATTTTCTTACCCTGCCAGCCACTTGATACCCTTCCAGAAAGCCAAAAGGGAGGGGCAATTCTCACCTCTGGTGGAAGAACATTCCACAGGGATGTGGCCACAGCAAAAAAAGGGAGCTCTTCTCCTTTATCCCACCTACTTCAATAGTTTCTGCATGAAAGCGCCTCTATACGTTATATCATCCACTAACAAGAGGACTTTTTTCTGTTACAGATTTAGTTTCTAGCTAACTGAATTCTAGAATGGTGCTGAAAAAACTGTTGCCTGCTGCAACAGTTTGCAATCTCATAAGAACCAATTAATTTTATTACAAAATCAAAAATCTTACTTGTGCTCTGCACAGACGCCAAGACAAGTCTGACATAGCTCACATGTTGGTCCCTGAAATTTGGAATCGGTACAGTTGCATTCTCCACATTCACATATTCCTCTACCATTGCAGATTTGCCCATTTGCAGCTTCACAAGGAGTCGTATCTAGGGGGCACTCACAAGCAGAGCCAGTGTAGTTTGCCCAGCATTCACATTCACGACATTTACATTCACCGTGTCCTACATTCAAAATCAGGAAAAAGTTATATTAGTCAAACTTCAATATAAAAATGCACATATTTTCCTCCTAATTTCTACCAATGAGATAGATTTGATAAGATCCTCAGGAGCTGCTTCCTGAAGGAGCAAAAAACATCACGTGATTATTTTGATGCACTCCTGAAATTATCCAGGTTATGATTGCAAAAGGCAAAACTTCTTAAGTCTTCAGGTGGGCTTAAGACTACTGCACAGAAACTTCATATAGTAGTGCTGCTTTTAAGGATGAATTCAGAAGAGTCTCTCACGCATAAAATCTAGTTCTGACATCTTATGAAAGCATGCAGAAAGAACACTATTAGGCCTGATTATTTTCAGGAAATAAATTCTCCTCTTTACTAATTAAAGAAATTCCAAAACAAGAACAGCAAGCAACATCTGGCTATTTTGATATTATTTAAAATGTGTACGTAAATGGTGCTCAGGTTTTTATGCCAAATTTAGCACTCTATATTGTACTAGACAACACAACATAACATAGGTGCATATTGCACTGCATAGGAAATCATCATCAAGAGGTATATAGGACAGCATGCAAACATTTTCTTCTTTAAGAGATGCTTTACTAGGCTTATTATAAAGAATAACTTTATCTTTAAATTGTCTTTTATGTAGCATAGTTAAATATAAGATCTTTATTTTAGTTGTCAGTTCAGTTGTTTGAACATTTTCAATCAATCAAAGAAACGGAACTGCATCAGAGAAGTTATTCCTAATCTGACCTTTGTTTCTCTTATTCACTTAATTCTATTTTATCATACTAGTTTCAAGATTATGTTTTAAAGTTCATAAAGATTATGAACTCATTACCTCCACAAATTAAACCATCAGATCGATCACAGCTGAAGTTATCACACTGGCAATATGGGCCAGAATAGATTTCATGTGGATTTTCTCGCTTTTTGCACACACACTGCCCACAAATACATTCGCCATTCTTACTACATATTTCAGAACTGTTAGCCTGCCTACAGGTGCCTGACATGTCTTCACTATTTACTTCTTCCATGCTGCATTCACAGTGCTTTCCAATACGCCCAGGTTTGCACCTAAAAAGAAAAATGGACCAATTTAGCTCAGCATTATGTGTCTCATTGTGACCAACAAATGGCACTGGGAAGTTCATAAAGGAGAAGAGGATCTTCTCTTTCAGTGTGGTTCCCCAGCAGCTGCCTAGACTTCAAGAGGCATCATGCTGACATCAAGATCAAATTACTGGCAATCACATATACCAGATTTCATAGATAAAAATCATACATCTAAAAAAAATGTTCATTTTTAATTAGTCTCTTACATTCCTCAAGGTGAGATAAAATGAGAAAATTTCTACATCTACCTACCTACCTACCTACCTACCTACCTGCCTGCCTGCCTACCTGACCTACCTACGTATCTACCTACCTTTCCTTCCTTCCCTTCTATGTATATGTATATATCATGGCTTGCATTCCCCTCCATCATTACAGGCTTTAAAGTTGTTCCTTTAACTCCTAAAGAACTCTTCTGGCTTCCTAAACATCTCAGCTAACCTTTTCTGGCTTTGAGGATATGCTTCTACATAAGAAACTAAAGTTACAGATTTTGTTTTTCATGAAAACACAATAAAGTATCACTTATATACCTGCAAGCACCACACTCAAATGTTCCATTTCCAAAATGGCACAGAGAGCTATCCTCAATTCCTTCATTATGGCAATCACATTCACAAATGAACTCCAGATTAATCTCTACTTCTTCAGTGAAACCAAGCGGTTTGATTTTAATTGTTTCATTTTGTTCCCTTTCTGGACATTGGTTAGCTGTTATTGTAATCTCAAACCTAACCTGTCAATATAAACAATAAACAGGCAATTGGTTCAAACTGATTAAAAGAAAGATACAGAATTATATAAGACAATGAATGCTATAATGTAACAAGGGGCACATAAGAAGTCTACATGACTCTGTACACCAAAGCTTACCTCATCACCAATTGAAATGTTAGAGCATTTTCTTCCTTCATCTCCTGTTCCATTCACTCCATTCTTACAGAAAGATTTATATTCTATTGCTATCTCCTTAGGTAGTTTACTGTTTTCCAAAATAACTTCTGAAGACAATGACTAAAATAAAAATGGAACATTTAGATAAAGAGAAAATAAAAGAATGTGCAATACTTGCAAGATATTTTAACAAAATCCTTTCAAGGACATATGCACACACGCACACACACACTTCTTCAAATCAGTATTGACTTCTGGCAACTGCCTTTTCTTGGCAATATTTCAAGAAGTGGCTTGCTCTTGCATGTATTTCTCCTTGGGTTGAGAGAATGACTGGCTGGTTCACCCAACCAGCTATATGTCTAAGATGGAATTAAAACTAAGGTCTCCTAGACTTTAATGTGCCTTAACCAAAACACCAAATTTCAAAGGAATTATTTCAAAGGAACTATTACCTACAAATCTTGCCTTCATAATCCTGTAACTAATGCTACGATACAGTCATACAATGTTTTAGAAACGAGATTATAGTAAGAATTATTCATTTGGATGGACTTACATTGTAAGCATCAATGATCAGCTGAATCACATTACTTGAGTTTGAAGACAGCATTCCCACTGCAGATTTAGGAATCAAATTCTTCAGCTCCTTTACATAGAAGGAATGAAAACATTTTAATTCCCACACATTATCATTTTAACCAACGTATCAGATACCTGATACTGGGAATATAATTATTTACTGGTCTCCCTACTATGTGATGAAGCTTTCCAACTTCTGTGTTCTCCATTATCACGTGAACCCAACAATGGTAACAATCAGCATTACCCTACTTATGTCTATGTCTTAATCTCCCTACCATTTCCAATTTAAAGTCTTATTAAACTTAGATATAAAGTAACTGATCTAGCATCATATGACTTTTAGCAAAGGCATTTCCCCTCTCCTAAGAAGTGCAGTTCATCTGTGTCTAAAAGTCCCTCAAATGCTATAAACCGTTGTCTAGGAATCCAAATCTTTCTTCACATGATCCTCTTAACCAGCTGTGACTTTCAAGATACTCCATCTCCTTATTTTCCTTCCGTCAACATAGAGTGCAACAGCTTGCATTCAGCCATGCCACCTGTTCGTATCTCCACGTAGAAATACAGAGTAAAGTCTTGTTTCTCATAAGTACTGTCATCAGAAAGAGAAGAATGACACATGCTTGACATTAAATTACCCATAGAAACTCTGGGAAGAACTGGAAAGGTTTTTATCACATCCTGAGAACCCCCCCCCCCCCCCCCAACAGATTCTATCTTAGGAAAGACTGATGGAAACACTATTTCTATTTCCTACTTCCCCCAACTCCTTCATCTTCCTGCCTAGGGCTTTATATTACCCAAAGATTTTTACTAGGCATTTAAACAGGGATATAGGAAGGTTTTTTTAAGCTATAGAAATGTATGTTGTTTGATCATTACCTTGTACACTGGCTGAAATTCCTCTGTGACAGCAAATATTATCTGAATATTATTGTCACTTAGCTTCTGAACAAGATGAGCAATAGAGGGATAATCCTGAAGAACCAAGTATAGATTTAGGAAACAATATATTGAATATATATTTGAGTGCAACATATATAATGCATTCTGTATACAATATTATATAAAAACACACAGATAAAAAGTTTTTAAATAAGAATTGTAATTATTATCCCATCTACCCTAGCATTGTGGTTGACTCCTGGTTGAGTCTGTTCATGCGTTGTGATTGACTACCAGTTGACATTCATGGAATCATTCTTCTAGACCTCTATCTGTCCTACATTTTGGCTGTTCCAATATATGTTGCACATGACTCTTGTTTTTCTTCTTGAGTGACTGATCTTTTGGTTTATTTAAGATGTTTTGGAGGGCTTTAGTTGGTTTGTGTACTATGATGATGTTGTGTATTTGCCATAATGTGTTGCTTGTTTCTGAGATGTTTTTGATATATGATAAGTGTTAACCTTTTCATAGCTTGTATTGATTGTGCTGCAGTAGACTTTGGGGTAGTGAAATTCAACAATATGGAGTAAAGTTGAAAAATATTATGAACAAAATTTCTATGGGTTATTAAAAACATGTTATTAACATGTGATTACATACATGCTAGCAAATATTTATTTTATAATCTAGTAATCCTATTTTTTTAAAAATTGTGTTTTTTCCTGTCAAATTGTTAGTTACAAAAAGTATTATATTTTAAAAATAAAGTAATTTATTTTTTATTATACATTTCATATTTATTTAATTACATACATGCACACTGAGTAAATATACCTAAAATATTCTACCAAACATACTTACATAGTAATGACTCATTGTGTACATATTATTTTCTAAATGACATTGTCCATCATTTGGTAAAACAATTCCTCCAAGCTTCCCGTCTCCAGCAAAATGGAACCCAGCATCCGTGGAAAAAACCAATAGTCGAGTGACATTTCTTCTCCATCCAATTCTTGACTGAAATAGAAAAAGGAATTTGATAGAAGATATAAAATTAAAACTTCAGCAGCCAATAAACCAGAGAAAAGAAGTGATTCATATATTCATATATTACAGAACAAAAGGAAAGTTACTGATCCAATCAGTAGACAAGGCAGCATCTTATTTCAAGCAGGAACAACTGTGCAAATATTCTGAATTTGGATATGATGGCCCTCTAAGGCAGCTATGGCCAACAGGAGTCAAAAGGGGCATGAGATAAGAGAAATGAATATTAAAATTGGACTTTCTGAGCAAAAATACAACTTGTACATTTCACATGACTAAACCAAACCAAACAAAATGGTTATTCTAGCATAGATTCTTATGCTATTTTTCATCCAAAATTACACTCAATCTTTACAGTTTTGTAATATGCTGCAAATATCATGAAATAAGAGGCTGTGAACTTGAAAAATCAGTTGCCTTACCTTCATGGAGAGAAGACCTGCACCAAATGCAAAAGTCAAATGAATGAAAGCAAATATACTTGTCCCAGTATAAAATTTCAGGATCCAATCTGGGTCAGTGATCGGAACCAGAGGCTTAGTCTTCTGAGCTTTTGGATTTCTCTCTAATTGAAAGTTCCCCCGAGTCTGAAAGTTCAGAAGACTAAACTTCTGGTTCCAGTAACCAACTCAGATTGGATCCTTCAACAAAAGTCACAACCTGACCACTTACCAAGAATACATATCTAAATAAATGAAAATAATCTGTGTTCATTTTTACTTACACTGGATAGAAAAAAAACTTTAAGTCTCTATATATTTATTCAAAAATCTATCCGGATTATTAGTTTGAATCAACTCAACTAAGCCGTATTAAACAGTAAGGTGATTTGTTAGTTTATATAAATAGCTCATGGGAACTAATGTTAATGTGGAAATTTCAAACTTGTATGAAAATGAACTCTACAGGCAATAAGTTATTGTTGTGAACTTTTTTTTAAATTTTAAATGAAGTAGGTCTTCTGAAGGAGATAGCATTTTTCCTTTTACAGGAATGAAGTGAATACTCCCAAGATTTATACTGAGTGATATGTATAAAAAAAGAATTGTAGCCATTCTTAAGAAAGCAGTGAGAGCTTATGGTCACTGGAATAAATGTGCAGAGAGATGTAGGGCTCTGTGTCCAGACAGGGGGTCTATTACATAAAAGATATGCTACCTACTTATATGCTTTGTGTTATTCATATAAACAGCTTCCTATTTGCATGCAAAAATTTTCTTTTTCTTTTTATTGTATAGGCAGTGGTGGGATTCAGCCGGTTCGCACCAGTTTGCTAGAACCGGTGGCTAATTTTTTGCTGAGTTTGGCAAAGCAGTTAGACATGTTCCAGAAAATCTTGTTTTCGTTCAACTTCCTTCCAGGTGGGGGGGACCCCTCCCCAAAAGCCCAACAGAGGAGCGATATAAACCTTCAATCACGTCACTCAGGTGAAAACTATCTTATTTTACAGCAGGTGGTGGGGCGGGGGTGGCGCATAAGGCGGCAGCCCAGTGTCAAAGCGCCCGCAGAGCACCAGAGGGTCAGGGATGATGCTGCAGCGAGCAGGTGTCGTGCCTGAAGTGCCCATGCTGAATACCCCCTTCTTGGCCAGAGCTGGAATGCCACTTTTACATGCTGGCCTTCCCTCCAGTGGACCTGAGCAACTGCTGGAGAAAGACTAGCACCCAGATTCCCTCACTTCCCCCAAGTATTTCTTTGCCTGTCTGATTTCCAGCTGTCATATTGCTGTATTGCGTTTCTTACTGTTGTGTGCAGGGAAAGAAAAGTTTGTGGGATTAAGAAAAAAAAAGTTCAATCAATCAATTCCAACTTCTCGCAAAAAAAAAAAAAAAAAAAATCGCAAAATTGGAATTGATTGAACTTTTCTTTTTTTAGTCCCACAAATTTGTTTCCCTGCACACGTCAATGAGAAACGCGACAGAGCTAGAAATCAGGTAGGCAAAGAAATGCTTGGGGGAAGCGAGGGCATCGGGGGGGGGGGGGGGCAAGCTCCGCAGCGCGGCAATGGAGAAATGGGCAACAGAGCGGCCAGTGCGAGGGAATGAGGAGACTGCTTTCCCTCTTTCTTCTCCCTGCTCTTCTTCCTTCCCTTGTGCCAGCTGTTCCATTTCCCTTTTTTCCATTGCAGCACAGTGGCCAGGATTCACTTTGATAGTGGTTTAACAACTGATTCACCCAGGGTCAGGTTGGCTGTTGTGTGAGGCTTGTTCCGCATGTGTGGTGGAGTTGGAGGAGGGGAATGGGCCAACAGCCAACCTGACCCTGGGCAAACTGGTTTTTAAATTATTTGAATCCCATCACTGTGTATCTGTATTAACATTATATTATAGTTGCACTTATATATACTCCTGATATGGCAACTCCTTTTATGCTCCTTTTATGGCAACAAGCCCATAAAACCATGAGTAGGTTAATTGGTTTTCACATATTTTTCTACTCTTTTATATTATTTCCTGTTAATTATGTTTGTATGTTTTCAATAGCAATAGCACTTAGACTTATTTACCACTTCACAGTGCTTTACAGCCCTCTCTAAGCAGTTTATAGTCAGCATTTTGCCCCCAACAATCTGGGTCCTCATTTACCGCCCTTGGAAGGATGGAAGGTTGAGTCAACCTTGAGCCGGTGAGACTCAAACTGCTGAATTGCTGGCAGTCAACAGTCAGCAGTAGTAGCCTGCAATACTGCATTCTAACCACTGCGCCACCATGGATTTCATATTTTAAACTTTATGTGTGTGGGGAATAGAAAAGCTCAGTGGTTAAAAACCCAGACCTTGTCAGCTGGAAATCTGACAACCCACATTCAAGACCTAAGCACTGTGTGAAGGGGCGAGCTCCCATTACTTCACCTAGCAGTTTGAAAGCATGCAAATGCCACTAGATAAAAAGGTACCATCTTGGCTAGGAAATGGAGATGAGCACCGCCCTCAAGAGCTGGACATGACCAGCTAGAGGAAAACTTTACCTTTAATTTATATGTGTATGTTTTTCTGATGTTGTATGCAAGCCAAAATCATTTGATTGTGAGATAGGAGGCATATAATTTAATAAATAAATACATAAATAACGGATTCTCTCTAATTTTTCTACTTTTTAAAATTATATATTATACCACATCCATGAGTTGCAAGTTACAGATAAACACAATATAGAATTATTTTTACCCAAACAATGGTATTCAAGAAGTCATCTTCAATTGCTGATTCATTTAACCTGATTGACAATCATTTTTAGATAAATCAATTACCATATAATCAAATAATAATAAAAATACGAGAGGGAAAGTCAACACCACTTACACCACAAACAGCAACCTGCATTATTGCATCAAATCCTCCTTCTGGAGAATCCAAATTGCCTGAGATTTGCTGTTCCCCTACAAGTGTATTGAACGAGTTCCCATTGCTGGTAAAGTTGAGTACATTCCTGTAGCTAAAGGGACTTGTACAGTTAAGGTCACCTGTGCAGGGATTCAGGAGTTTGGCAGGTGTGGTACTGATATAAGGCATTACTGTTTTTTCAACAAAAGAACCAAAGCCTATAAGAAAGAAGAAACATCGAAGGATCTACTTTTGCTATTTTCAATACAATCAAAAAAGTTCTACATAAAAGTAGGCAAATAGACAATCCATGACTTGCAAAGCTTTCGTTGCTGGCAATCCTAGCAGAAGCATCTTCTAGTCACTGCTCTTCAAAAGACCACAAGAACTAGTACTGGGCAAATTTCTGGTCTAGATGATTTATCTTTAAAAGTAGAAACAATTAGTTGTAAAGAATACCATATGTTATCATACTAGAAATGAATAAAATCTATGGCTAAGGAAATCAGTATTACTACATAAAATAAACTTTAATTCTTTATTAAAAGATAGGCTATGCTTTCCTTTGTAGGAATTTTCCAGAGATTAATTGAATTGTCAAAACTAAATTCTACATTTATAGGGAATTTACTTCCATTCTAATTAGAATAAAATCACTAGAATAGGCCGTGCTGTAATTTGCCTCTATTTTTCTGCAGTTTAGGGATTCAGCTATGAAAACAATCTCCAGACTCTCTCTCATCTTTGTAATGCCAAAATTTATTGCTAGCTTGACATTAAAGGAATATTTCATGTTGTATGCAATTTCTTCCTGATGCAGAATATCATAGTTCTCAAAAAGAGCTAAATCACTTTTATATTTACAAACTATTTTTGTTATATCAAGATTGAAAAAAGCAAAATTTATGCATAAGCAGATTCCATACCAATTCGAAAATCTGAAGTTATATTTTTCATTTTACTCATCAGAGAAGTTCCAAGACTTTTGACATTTTCCAAGTCATCTTTCATAGAGTAGGACAAATCCATGAGGTAATAAAGATCAATTGGATAATCTTCAGCTCTCTTGAATTTTAATGAGAATGTTTGTGGTTCCCCTAATCACAGAAAGCAAAGTTAAGCTAAGATTCCAAATGGCAGAGAACAAGAATACAAGTATCTTTGTCATGAAAGACATCTAACAAAAAAAGCATGGAGGAAAAAATATTACCTAGTTTTTATAGTTTCTGCATAAGTATTACACTCTTGAGTCAATCTGAATGTTTATTTCAGAAAGTCATTCAGACATGAAGTCATAAATAAATACTTATTATGAAACCGGAGATCATAATTTGGATTACCATAGCCTCATTTAGAAATTGCAAGTATCTAAAGCTAACTTAGACATGCAACACATCACTGAGAATACTTTTGCAATAAAAGCAACATTAAGAGGTATCAACAGAAGCGATATCAACATTCAATAAATGTGTGACATATGTACACATTACAATGTTCGTATGATTTATTATAAACAAGTAGTATCTATTGACCCATTTCTTCATCAGGATTAGCACTATTGCAAAAATTCTACTGATAGTCCATGATTTCTGATCATCCATTTAACAACCCTTCAAAGTTATGACGACACTGAAAAAAATGACTTAAAATCAGTCCTCACACTTACAACACTGCAGCATTCCTGCAGTCCCGTGATCAAAATGTGGTACTCAGTAACCAGGTGCATATTTCTAATGATGGTTTCAGCATCCTGAGGTCACATGATTGACATTTTCAACTTTCCCAGGGGACTTCCAATAAAATCAATGGAGGAAATCAGATTCACTTAATGACTGTCTAATTCGCTTAGCAACCATGGCAAAAAAAAGATTGTAAAACTGGGTGTGACTTACTTAATGACCACATTATTTAGTGAAGAAAGCTCTGGTCCCCATTGTGGTTGCAAGTCAAGGATTACCTATACAGAGAACTCTATCTAAAATGTATGCTTTTTAAAACCATTTTTGCCTTTTTTTGCTTATTATAAATAAAATTCTTATTTATCAAAATAAAACAAAACCTTAAAACCACAGGGTGAAGTTCAGTTAACATGAATAAATTATATCAATCATTAATATGTTTAAAATTATAAACATAATTTTAAATCATTAAAAAAAATCAAACTAATGAAGTGGAAAGGTCAAATACAATTCCAAGGGAGATCATTGTATGATTTGGGTAAAAAAAAAAGACAATTTAACAAACATAAATTTATTCTGTAAGTAAAATTCCATTTGTGGGAAGGCTATTCATTTGGCTATGATAAGTTTATGGAGATGATATAAAGAATTCTTACTGGTTTATAAAAATTTGATTGAGCCACGATGGAAAAAGATAGCGGCCTAGAAGAACTATGCTTTACAGATAATAAATTACACTCTGAATTGACTTGTAAGAAGATGCCAAAAACTGCAGGTATTGGAAAAGTTATAACCCACTGTTAGCAACATCTTTTTGGCTCTACATACCAGACTATCATTAAATTTGCTGCAGTAGAAACAGTGGAAAGCAAATAATTTATACTTCTAATTTTATTACATCATCTCCACTTCCTTCTATTTTTTTGGCATTCTCAAATGATTAACTTATCTATTAATTAGAGGCATGTACACATTTTCCTTTAAACAATTCATTAGCCTAACTGGGGAAAACCCAGTTAAATACTGACCTTTTCAGTCTCAAATTTTGATTTTTGCATTTATTTCAAAATTAATTGTGAAAAACAAATGCTCTAAAAATTATGTTATCCCTTGTTTTATGAAGTTATTTAAATTAATGTTATTTTTTAAAATACACTTTACCCTAGCCAAAGATCTAATCATCGAGCAGCCTTAAGTATAAATACGAATTATAAATAAATGAGTATTCAATGAGATACTGTTTGACTACTGTTTAAAAACTAAGGGAATAAAGCTGTGATATAAATTTTGAAACAACAACAAAAATTATGTTTTCACAATAGAGAATTCATTTAATGACCACAAATTGAGATACTGATCAGCATTAACCTAAGTTCATTAGGTATATCCTCCATCTGTCCAGCTCTCCTCACTTTGAAAATAATGTTTACAAGTATTTTTACCTTTCCGCAACTTTAACATCACTTGCTGTGGTTGAATCTGGGTAATATCTTCCGGTCTAAGACTTTCCGCAGTCCCTTTGATGCGATTTGTGACTTCTTTGTTTTTTAGCAATATATGTGTGCCTCTGGGGTTTTCAATTTCTTCTGGAGGGCAGCCTTTATTTTTTAAGGCCTCCAAGTCATCACATCGTGCTGCCGTAGATTCTCCTTCTTGCAAAAAGGTCTAAGAATTATAAACAAGATTAATACAAATTATACAGGGTGTACTTGATTTCAAGAACCCTACATGCTACAACATTCTTCACTATTAAAAGTCAAATGTGAATCAAGCTTTTGAAATGCATATGGTTACTTTGAATCAATGCTAATTTAGTCAGATCTGTCTTAGCTGTGTTGCACTACATCATACATTTTTTTGTTTAATATTCTGTTTAATACTTTTGAAGGCACTTGCTTGAAAAATAGTATATAATGAAGTAACAAAATTGCAGTATGTAATTGAAAAAAGGCACAATAAATTAATGATGCCTATAAAGTTACGGCTTCAGGCCAAGAAGCCACACTATAAAAGCCACACTGGGCTTTGAAGCTATGACAAGTGGAGCCCAAAGAATGATTTCATGTTCCTAAAGGAAGGACACATGGAGGAGAAACATTACAGTGTAAGCCAGCTGGGCCTGTGCCAGGAATATGCTTCCCTCTAGCAGTAAGAGAAAGCAGCAAGAACTACACCACACAGAACCCACAATCAGAACCCACAGTTAATAGTGATCAGATGTTGATAGCTCGTGGGCAATTTTTGGGTCCACTTATTCAAGATGGTGGCCATGACTCTGAATTATACAAGAGTAAATGTATGCAATTGTAAACAATGGAAATGTCGTTTTGCAGCATTCCACCATGTGGAACTATAATTTCTTCTAAATAAAATGGGGAAGAACTTGAACATGTTTGATGTAGTACCCTGCCTCTACAAAGATGAAAGAATGCTACTTTTTCCTATAAAAGGAAAAAAAAATGAAATTCACAACTCCTAAAATCCTGCAGTCAACTCAGATTGTTAAATTTGATTTCACTACGAGTCAAAATAAATAAATCTTATTCAGCTGCTCTCAATTCTGGCTTGATAGCATGTTTTCTGGAGTCTCAGACATAGAGATGCCTCTCACTACCTGCTTCTGATCCTTTATCAGGTGGTAAGAGATTGAATTTAAGAACTTCTGCATACAATGTGTGACTTCTTCCAATGAGGAGCACTGCCTTACTAACATTTCAAGTCTTACTCTCCTTTCCTCCTTTCCCCACAAACAGAAAAAAACCCCTATAAGCAACCTACATAAAGTAATTTTACAAAAGCAGAACAGAACAGCCTATCATATTTGATTTCAGAGAACTAATCAGTAATTTATTTCTGGTTATATTCACTATGGAGGCCTAGGAGGTGGTATACAACCAGTTTCATCCATCCTGTCTATATAAACTGTTTATTGTTTTTAAAAAATCAATAATAAAAACTACAAACGAAACTCAAAAATAAAAATAAACGTGACAATAGAAAGTGCTAGAAAAAAAGAAAATAAAAGGAGAAAGAAGAAAAGAAAGAAAATTATTTAAAGATGTGACTTCTGACTTTAATCATTAAAAATACAAACATGGTAATTCTTCATTCCCTGAAACATTACGTACATGTATCTTTTTCCCCATCCCTTTTCTATACACAAATCCCTAAATCATTAATAGTTCAGTTCTGGTATCAGCAAAAGTCCGTAAGTCTCCCCAGAATTTTATGGAAATCAGTCTTGGTTGAACTTTATCAATTTTGTATTTCTTCCTTTTTCTTCTAATAATTTTGATCTTCATTCAGAAAATGTTGTAAGATTTTATCTTTCTTTGGTTTATCTTCCCATCTCAAAGCTTCTTCAAAACTTTGGGAAACCTCTTATAAATCCATTCTGCAGGTCTTGCCTTCGTCTAGCTTCTTGGCTTGTCAATTGCATTTCCATCTTATCTGTCATCTCTGTTTTATAATAATATTCTGCATGATGTGATGTTTGTTTCAGCTCTTTGTCCTGTAGATTTTTCAAGGTCCTCTCTTTCACCTCTATTGTTCTTCTATAACATCTTTTGGACATACTTTATCCATAGAGGTAGACAATTATCTCCTTAGTAGAGCATGATTTAAATAATCACTTTAATATGAAACTTCCAATACAAGGCCTAAGGTAAAGGTAAAGGTTCCCCTAGCACAAAAGTGGTTCCCAAACTTTTTCAGTCCACTGCCTCCTTGGTGCTACAAACTCATCCTCGGTGCCCCCCACCCTGGGGTGGGATTCAAATTTCTGTGGGTGTGGCCTAATTTGTGTGGTTTCCTGGTCACATGACTGGGTAGGCGTGGCTTGCTGGTCATGTGACTCGGTGGGCGTGTCCAGGTGACTGGCAAACCAAATACTAGTGGCCCTCACTTAATGACCGGTTGTTTAGCAAGTGTTCTAATTTATGACTGGCCTCCCCAGAGCTACTTGACCAGTTTTTGGAGTTTTGACAGCTTTAGATCAGGAGTCGAGAGAGAGAGAGGGGGGGGGGGGCAGGCAGGCAGGCAAACAGACAGACTTTTTGGATGGATGGATGGACGGACGGACAAACAGAATGCGACAGCGGTGGCACTTTGGGAAAGCGGTGGCAGCGGCTTTTCCCAACGTGCTGCCACATTCGAGGCACCGGTTCTGGAGCATTACTACAGTCAATGGGTGAACCTGCAGGGCCAGTGCCTCGAACGCCCCACTGCCGCCTCTTAGTGTCGCCAAGGGGGCTGGCAGAGGGGGGCTAAGAGGTGGCAGGGGGGCGTTCAAGGTGCCAGCCTGCCCTGCAGTTTCACCCATTGACTAGCACTGCTCCAGAGCCAGCGCCTCCAATGTGGAAGTAGTGGCACATTACATGCCGCCATGGCCATGTTCAACACGCTGCCCCCCTGCCGCCCCTTAGCGCCCTTCTGCTGGCCCCCTTGGGGATGCTAAGAGGTTGCAGGGGGCGTTCGAGGCCTGCAGGTTCACCCATTGACTAGCACCGCTCTGGAGCCAGCACCTCAATGGGTGAACCTGCAGGGCCGGCTGGTGCCTCGAACGCCCACCTGCCGCCTCTTAGCACCCCTCTGCCAGCCCCCTTGGGGACACCAAGAGGTGGCAGGGGGGCGGTGCATTGAACGCTGCCGTGGCGGCATACAACATGCCACCGCTTCCGCATTAGAGGTGTCGGCTCTGGAGCGGTGCTACAGTCAATGAGTGAACCTGCAGGGCCAGCTTCTCGAACGCCCCCCCTAAGACATTCCCCCCCCCAGGGGGCAGTACCACCCACTTTGGGAACCACTGCCCTAGCATATATGTGCTAGTTGTTCCTGACTCTAGGGAGCAGGGCTCATCTCCGTTTCAAAGCTGAAGAGCCAGCACTGTCTGAAGACATCTCCGTGGTCATGTGGTCGGCTGTTACCTTCCCACCAAAGGTGGTCCCTATTTTTCTACTTGCATTTTTTACGTGCTTTCGAACTGCTAGGTTGGCAGAAGCTGGGACAAGTAACGGAAGCTCACCCTGTTACCTGGCACTAGGCATTCAAACCGCTGAATTGCCGACCTTTCAATCGACAAGCTCAGCCACTGAGCCACCACGTCAAAGTTATACTAGTTGTATTAGGTATACAAGGTCTAATCAAAGTTAACAACTGTAGGTCTCTTGTCAGACACTACAAAAGAAAAGAAAATCCCATTCATAGCATCTAACTAGTTCTTGCATTAAAAGTATCATTAGAATAATTCATAAATAGTGAGGGTTTTTTGTTAAAAAATGTCATTTTGACAATCTGGCATAATGGATATAAATTCTTGCAATTGCCAAAAATGTATAGTCAGGGAGGCAGGAAACTTTGCAGGTTATATCTATGAAACAGACCAGCTCATACAAGTTGATCTTTTAAATTTATTTAAAAATAGAGAAAGGTTTCTATACCTCAGGTTTACATTTGCGATTTAGAAATACAAAGCTGGACTACAAGGCATATGTTTGATTGGTAATCGTTTCAGGCTTCACATGACAAATTGTTCCCTGAACGAGAAGCAAAAAACCTGAAATAAAGTCTAAGATTTACAGTAGATAAAACTTTTCTCAGTCTGGGAAATCTAGACCTACAAGTGAGGAATCAAAATTTAGGAAATTTCATCATTCAAATTATATTTCAAATGAGTGTATAAGCTGTGGTTATTTTTCTCCAACTGAATTATCTGCATTTAAAGTCACTGCCCTTCTAATGTGACAAGGAGACTATAATTAAATTCAGACAGTGTGACTCCAGAGAAGCATGGTTTTTAAATAATTATGAGGCAGCACTATAATATATAGGGGACACAGAGAAGGCCTATACGGTTGCCAAATGAAAGGACAAAGCTAAAGGAGAATGTTTAAACGATTTATTCTTCCCCCTATCAACTCAACTCCTAAAAATAGAATTTGTCCTAATTACCAATTGTAATTAATGAGTGATTAAAAAAAAGGTTAGGACCATTTTTGCTTCTGAAAAGGTCTCTGCTACTTTGACATAAATTCAAGAAAACTGAGTAGCTCCAAAATGATCTTGGATCAAACTGATCCAAACTGTATCACTTAACAGATACCAGATGGATCATTTATCCAAGCTAAATAGTTTTACTCTCCGAGGTCTCTCACACAAAAAAACCCAAGCAGTCAATTCCCTGCCACCTGAATGCTCAAAGCATAAAGCAAGGAACTTCTCTGCCTTCAAATGGATTGAGGGGGTGTGTGGATCTGTTGAATCTTGTCAGAATAAGAGGGAACAGACAGATCTATCTTCAAATTCCTAGACTTGCAAGTGACGAATGAAAGGAAGGGGGTGGGGAAATGGATCATAAAGATCTGATTTTTTTTCTCTTTCCATGTGATCAGTGTGATTTTTCTTCCTTTAAGGGTAGATCATAGACGCAAAATGTTAAGGTGCAGGATAAGACTCTTGGCACTAGCAATAGCATTTAGACTTATATACTGCTTCATAGCTCTCTAAGAAGTTTATAGAGTCAGCATATTGCCCCCGACAATCTGAGTCCCCATTTTATTGACCTTGGAAGGCTGGAAGGCTGAGTAAATCTCAAGCCGGTCAGGATCGAACTGCTGGCAGTCAGCGGAATTAGCCTGCAATACTGCAATCTAACCACTGTGCTACCA